TTTTGTTTCTTTATTACAACAATAAGTAAAGTATTAGTTGCTGAGAATAAAAACTCTCATTACTGTCGTTTAACAAAGAGAGGGAGATGCTGACCTGTTGCCATCTAGTGGTTTCTTGAATAGTTGTTCTGCTTCACGAGAATCATGATGTCGGGGTTGGATCAAAATGCTGACCCAGATGAGGCATAAAGCCCAAACTTCTTGTCTTATCTCTGATTTCTTACATTGCAGCATTTATCCTGTTTTTCCTCTCATAACATCATGATTCTCATTTTTTGGTCTCATCTGTCCAGAAAAACATTTGTTGACACAGCCCTGTGATCTTTGCCATCATCCATCAGAGGCCTTTGGTTGTTTACAGGACGTTGTGTGTTCCTGTGACCTTTCAGAAGATTAAACTTGTTGTTCGAGCATGCATGCAGATCCCTTTGGGACCCACTTTTGCTTTTGAGATTCCCTTAGGTCTTCATGGCTGTTATGTAAATTTGAAGTTTCGTGAGGTTTTAATTTGCTTTTGCAAAGGAGCCAGATGTGCAACAGCAGTCTCTGTGCCTTTTGACCGAGAAGAATAACAAGCACAGAATAAATTGTTCTGTTATCGACTTGCTGTGGTCACAGAATATAATCAGAACATTCAGTGGAAAAGATAACTTGTACAGGTGAGTACATCATGTGTTGAAAGATTATATGTTGACATGATGCTATGGATCAGATTCAGTCAGGACAGCGCCGCACAGGAAGTACACTCCTTCCTGTTGATCACTCACTGATCACACAGTTACATCCCGTTTGGCACAAAGAACAGATCTAAAAATCTGGATCGGTTTAATTTCTGTCCTTTCTGTGTTCCATGCGGAAAGCAGATGAAATCTGTAACTTGTCTTTCATCTTGGAGGGTTTGTATTCATCACATTTAGGTATTTAGCATCAACACTTAGTTCATACATAATCTACGCAGATGAAGTCCATCATACAATCCTGTTCTGTTGCCTCCGAGTTGACCAGGATGTCGACCAGGAAGTAGAGCAGGTCATCTACTCATCGGAACGTTGGCGGTTTGATCCCTGGCTGCTCCAGTCCGCATCCCGAAGTTTCCTTAGGCAAGATACCGAACCCCGATCATTTGAATGGAAATGTTACACACTCCACTCTTGATGAGAAGCTTGGGCTCGGGGGAGCCCTGATTGTCCTGCAGAGACATTGGCTGCCGGATACTCGATGGTCAGTTCGTGTGCTTGGAGACACTCTCGATGGAGGACACTGAACGAGAGCTACCGTTATGAACCATGATAACAGAGCTGATCGGAGCTGCCTCTGACCTGGCTTATCGAAGAACAAGGAAAGCGGTTACAGCTTTCCAAAGCCCCACTAGGCTCGCCGACATGATTGACGACGGGCAAGCTGTGAGTACTCAGACTGTGTTTCTGGAACACCATATGGGAAGATCTTGCAGAAGCTCACGGCTTTGCAATGGGAAATAGTTAGACCTGGTGTCCGCATTACCCCAAACAATCATCTCCCTCACTCATGCAGCTCCTGAACAACAAATTCTTGTCCCTGATAACCGGACTATGTTTAGTCTCTCTGACCTGATCCTTCAAGGACACCTGGTTTGGCTGAAGGACTGCTGACTTTCGCTCAACCAGGTGAAAGGACACTCTCCCTCAAGTTGAACACAGGATACACACACACGCACACATACACGTGTACACTGACACAGATGCACACTCACTCCCTTCCCTATTCCAAACGCCCTGATGCTTGGCCCCCATCTGATGCAAACGGCGGGTCAGCTGGACCTGGGCAGAGATGCCACGACTCGATGCTGCTGTCTACATTGGCTTACTCTAGCCCTACTCACCCAACCCTGTTGCTTGTCACGTGTTTTCATGGTGTCACGGTGTGAAGATTCATGTTTTCTGTTCTTGTACTGATCCCCTATCAGGAGCTCAGTCTGAGTAGTTCTCTTTTTTTCTCCTCTCCTGTTTTTACCTGTTCTGACCTGTCTCCACAATGTGATGTTTGTGTAATGTATGTATGGTTGGAAGAGGTCCGATTTCGCTGCAGGCAAATAAAGGCTTCATCATCATCATCATCATCATCATCATCTTCAAAAGAACAGAAAAAAGCGCTTGTATGGATGGGTGTTGGATGGGTGAATGAGGCATACTATAAAAAGAAATACACTAATGAACCATCAACCACTTACTCCTCCCTTACCAATGAAGCAACAAGGCTGAGGTGTAATGTTCCTCCCTGACCTAATGTTCTGTGAAATAGAGCGTTGCACTTCCTGATTGACTGCTCTTATTGGCTGTCAGATAAAGGTGATGTTCAGTCGCATCCTTCACCTCTCCACGAAATTGGGATAATACAGAAGAAACAACTAGTTTCTCAGTCTTTTCTCATAGAGACATGTGAGAGGCAGTACAAAGAACACAGCTACAGTTGCTTTGTTTGTTTGTGCGTGTGTGTTTCGGCGTACAGATAGACTGGAACCTCATGTAGTCCCCCTGTTGGCCGGTGGGGGGCAGACGTACATTCTCCAACCTGCATTGTTCCCATTTCAGGTGAAGAAGAAGATGGTTACTGGGGTAACGTCAACATCATCTCGAGCCGCTGACTTTCTTCCAGCTAGCGTTTCATGCTTTTTCGTTTATTTCTGTTTTCAGGTAAACCGCCGCACGCCTGCTTCGACTGGAAGTTATACAGGCGTATAAAACAGACCGCAGAGAGACCATTTTCAGGTAAGAAGCTGCGTTATCTCACGGCTAACGCCGGGACGTTTACCGAGGCTTCCGTAAACGAAGCTAAGCCAAAAAGTGTCAGCTAACAAGTTAGCAATAGCCGAACTAAGCTTCAAAATTGTAGGTTTTAACAGACTGCGCTGTCATAACGATGCACAGCTGCCGTTACAGCGATGCGGGTCAGTGCAGCGTAGATGCAGTGTTTGTGCACACGAAACAAATCATGTTTCTAAATCAAAGTAAACATGTGACATGTGTTATTATTTAGAGTTTGGTTTAATCACCCCGAGGAGCTTCTTCCCTCTTTTTAGCAGCGTGCACATCTTTATTTCCTTTACAAGCTCTGTGTTACTGTGAGGTACAAATCAGTCCCTTTATTGCCTTCAGCCTTTCGCTACCACTCCTAATCACGTGACCGCCTGATCTGTTGCGCTAGTAAAATCTGCTCAAGTGGAAAATGTCAGTATATGAATCAACAGGCACCACAGGGTTAAAGGTTATTCTTTAGTGTCTTCAAGTGTGGCCCTTTTATTTCACCAACAAGCACCGACCTGTAACAGCATCAGGAAATGATGTGGTTCCTGTTGCTCCAAGGCAACAGGAACAGTAACAGACTGAACTAAATTAAATAATACAATAAATTACAAAGTTAAAAATATAGGAAATAACATAAAAATGGCTCCATCCAGCCAGCAGCTCCACGTGTCTGATTTGTTACTCAGTGTTCCTGTTTGTGTGTCCACGGGTTTTAGGCATCATGGCAAGCCAGCGGCCTCCATCCAGCATGGGCCGGCCGATGAGCCGCAGCGGATCTGTGGTCCCTGGTGCTGGGAGACCCCCTACAGCTATCCAACCTCCTCCTACAGCTATGCGTGTTGCAACTGGGGTTAGCCATCAGCAGCATGGAACTTTGAGATATTATCACTCTGAGTGTGTTATGTTCAGTCTGAAAATACAATTGTTTGCTGATTCTGTGTGTTTCTGCACGCCAGGTTTTACTGAGCCTACGTGTAACACTATAGACCAGTTTTGGCAAGAAAAAAGACCAAAAATAAAATGGACATTGTGCTTATGATGCATTTTCATTGCATCATGCTTCTTTTGTAATCTTGTGTGCAGTTCTGAGTGCAGACTCTGTTTTCCCCTCCCTACATGTGTGTTGTATCTAATATGAGAAAAAAGCTGAGTATGAGGTTTAGAGAGAGTAACATGGTTATTGTCAGATTTCCTTTAGATATCGTGATAATATTGTCACTGTGAATTCTTTCAGCTAAAATAATTTCAGAGTGAAAATGCAATTTTGTGACAGCCACAACTAAGGCACTGCACTTCCTCTTCCAGATGGTCCCAGGGACCAGTGCTCATCCAGGTTTGAGGGGTGGCATCCCCGTCACCACCCCCGGAGTCCTGACAGCACAGATCAAAGTGACTGAGAGGCCGGTCACCCAGCAGGGGCTCAGTGGAATGAAAACTGGCATGAAAGGTATGTTTTCTTCTTGGATATTTTTCTGATTGTGTTTAATATATAAATAAACCTGTGACCTCCCTCCCACATTTCCTTTACCAAAGGGCCTCAGAGACAGATTTTGGACAAGTCCTACTACTTGGGTCTTCTCAGGTAACACATACTCACTGGCATTAACAGTAAGTACTTATGTCAAAGTAAAGGAGTGCACAAACCATAGGTCAGCTAGACCACTTCACAAAAGATGCACACATACTGAGCACATTCACATTTCTTAGAGTTGGTCTTGAGTTAAAATGTATTTCTATCGATGTGAAATTTGTTCTTCTGTCAGGAGTAAGATCAACGAGTTGACCACAGAGACCAGCAGACTGCACAAAGAGATTGAGAGCTACAACCAGGAGAACTCCGTCTATCTCTCTTATGAAAAGAGGTGGGTGGTGTTCTTCTTCTTTTAGGACCAAGTTTCTGTCTTCATTCCCGTCTTTACCAGTTATAGTTGAGTGAAAGATGAATCCAGATGAACTCTGTATAATGTCCCCGTGATGTGTGTCTGCTGCAGAGCTGAAGGCCTCGCTGCTGAGATTAAGGATATGCAAGGCCAGCTTGCTGACTACAATATGGTAAACAGCAACAATGTTGTTAAACACTGAAAGATTGGATCCACTTTTTCACTGTGTTGTTGAGGAGCTTAAGCAGTCGGCCATGGTGACTTAAAATAGACGATGTAAACTTCCCACTTCAGGGACAGTAACTATTTGATTGCAGGTGTTACGATGTTATGTTTGAGAGCAACTGCACATTTAAAACCTTTATACTGGTGAGGTTGTGTTTTTAGTTTTCAGTGAATGCGTTAAACACTGGACTCGTTTTTACTTCACTTTTGTACATTTTTATTGTGTTTCCAGCTTGTGGACAAGCTCAACACCAACACAGAGATGGAGGAAATGATCAACGACTACAACATAGTAAGTGATCCATCAAAACAATGTAAAAGGGGTTTTTCATGAACTGGAAATATAGGGGAAAATTCTCCCTTTAACTTTTTGATCTTGTGTTTAGTTGAAAGCCGAGAATGACAGCGAGGCAGAAAGCATCGATAACATCTTCACTGAGAGGAGAGAGTAAGTGCACGTGTTCTCATAAAGACCCTTGTGTCTCCATTAGACAGTTTTATGTTCACAAATACACTTTAACGTATTTATTTTGTGAAGTATCATTTTCAGAATGAAGTACTAGGACATTATTTAATTTAGCCTGATGGCTAGTTTCCATGTGAGCCATAAAACATTTAAAAAGAATCAGATATGTGCAGGTATGAGACTTTTAAACACAACAGGAAACGACTGCTTGTTATGTAAAGATGAAGCAGCAGTGGAGTTTTCTTAATAAAAATAAATGCCGTGTAGATCCGTGAGCAAACAAACACGTGGAGTGTTTTTTATCTGAAACACTTGCAAACTGTTTTCAAACCACCGTAAATTGAGGTTTGTATAACGCTGCACATTGCTGCTGGCGTTGTCGAGTCATGAAGAGGTAAAAACTCTTGTAAACCATGTGACTTCATCGTTCTAGTGCCGTGCAAACAAGGATAAAGCTGTCGATCTAACTGGGCGCTCACACACTAACACTAATGGCTCAGATTACAGGAAGTGTTCTGTACTTGAATATTGTTCTTCTAGTGGTCAAAAAGTGGAGTTAGGGTTGTTGCAGACTCCTCGCAGCTGACAACAGTGGAAGTATCCAGGCAACAATGCAGGCCGTGGAGTTAAGAGCCTGAATTTGTGAGATGTTGCAAAGAAGCTCCTTCAGTGACCAACAGTACAGCTCTCACACAATGATTTTGTGACCCGTGAAATGATAATACTCAGCGGTGTTTATCAAACAGCAAGGTTGCCACTGAATGGATTGCATTGTGTTTGTGGTTTGCTTTCTTATCATCGTGCATGTCACTCTTCTCTCCTGATATATGGATCCTCAAAGTACTCCTGCTCCTCCTGCTCCTCGTCTATCTGTCTGTTCATTGGTTCAAAGCTGAATGTTTGATGGGTCGGGTGTCTTCCCGTCGCCGAGAACTCTGTTGACACAAAATCCTCGTCGCCCTCCTCGACTTGTTGTTGTAACTGCCGATGCCTGTAGTTGTGGAAGAGCTTGTACCAGGACGGCCCCTTGACGGCACACACGATGAGCATGGAGGTGGCCACTGCCAAGATTGCGACGGATGCTGTGAATTTCCACGTGTTGCCGAGCGCAGGAGTCGGGTCTAGTTTGGGTTTGAGGATGGAGACAGGGTTACAAGCTTGCATTTGTGCGTCCACAAAAATGGAGAAAATGATCTGCAGCTCTCGATGTCGTACCTTTGCTGGTGCTGTTGTTCTGACCGGTTGACTGTGTGGTCGTCATAATAACTGATGGGCCCGACGTCTGTTGAGGGTGGACCGGTGTTTTTGGTTTCTGCGGGTCTGGAGTGACGCTGGGTAATAATGTGGAGCACAGTGCTGCAGCATTAAGAAGATCTCGTCCAGCCTGCTCTGCTGGAGATGCACAGATGACCTGTGGTCCTCCTGCAGCCACACACCATTTCCTTCAGTACATGCTCTTTAAGTTACTAAAGTTAGAGAACAGTCTCTTCACATAGAAAGGGATTTTAAACACTGGCCTCATTATCTCTCTATACTACACTCCTACTTGTCTCTACTTGTACTTGTTTTCATTCAAAGTAGTGTTTTTGGCTTTAATACTGGGATAAATCTTTAAGAATGATGTGAAAATAATGTAGTTCACTGATTGATCCAAGAGAATCACTGAAATCTGCACCATGGGACATATGATTTAATAATCAAGCTACCAACATTTTCCTTTAAGTAACCAGACCATCGCTCAGTTTCCCCAGTAGACATTTTTGGCTCACTAAGGCAGAGCATTCAACTCTATATGGGAACCAGGTTGTATATGGTGGGTGCTCTCCTGCATGGTATGGCTTTATGGTAACCATCACCAAAGTGTCACCTGTCTGCAGTTTAAAAGGAAGCAGACAAAAGCACCGGGTGTTCTTATGTGTTGATCAGCAGTGTGAGCTTTAGGTTCTTTAATTCTGGCTTCCAGTGACATCAGTTGCCAAAAATCTTTCAAATAAGGTTCAAATAAAACCTCCATACCAGCCGTGCGAGTCTCACATGGCTCATAGATTGTAAGTAAAAATGTGCCACTGCAGATTCAAGCAAGATACTCCGTGTCTACTAAAATTCCTTCAAATAAAGACTTTGAACACATACCGGTCTCAGTGGGGGGAAAGCCATGCTGGATACTGATATGGACCGGGGAATGTTTTAGGAAGGAAAAGATGGGAATGAAAATGATCAACCTAGAGAGGGCCGAATTCAAAGACACAACGCAAATAAAAGTGAAACCATGATGCAGCCAGTCTGTTGTCCCGATCCCTGATATCAGGCAGGTGCCGTTGCCTAGCCTGTAGACATCTGTGTGTCCCCCCATAGACATGCCTCCCCAGACCATTCCTGACCCACCACCAATCTGGTCATGCCGAACGATGTTACAGGCAGCATAACGTTCTCTACAGCTGCTCCAGACCCTTTCACATGTGCCACGTGTCCTCAGCACACTCATGAACTGTGTTTGTGTTCCTTTCTCTTTTTGAGCAGTGTTTATAGTTTTCAAACTGCTGTCATTGACTCATTAGCTCCCAGAAAGGGTCACGGGTCAGCCAACATTTAAAACTGTGTGATGAAAACTACTACCCATGGTAACATTTGCTGCATCGATCTGTCCAATGATGGTCAGCAGTGGACAGGAACAATTCCAGGGGTTTCCCTGTAGGTTCAGTACCTGATGGGACCAGACAGAGCGAGGTAAATGAAATAATAACACATCCTGTACAGGAAACACTTACATGTGCAGCCCTAAACCCCCATACACATGCATGCATTTCTTTATGTATGTCATGTCTAGATTAGTTCTAACTAAACTCTAAGTTAGCAGATTCTTTTTGAAATGCTTGTTTTACCTGTAACTTGTTCAGCCCACTGATCAGCTGTGCAGGGAGGCTTGTTAGCAAGTTGTGGGTCAGGTCCAACTCTGTCAGGACCTCCAGGTCACTGAAAGCCTGAGGGTCAAGGCTACAAAAAACAGCACAGCAGAATCGTATTACACTTGATTACATACCACACTGTACTTGGATATATTACTAACATGCAACAGTAGTAAGTTTTAGCAAGTATGCATCAATATCAAAATCAAACCAGTTTAATGGTTGGTGTTTAACACACAGTATACTTAAAGCAGCTAACTAGCATTTAGTTAGAAGTTAGACTTTTGCTAGCCTACTGACCTGCTGATGTTGTTTCTGGCGAGAGACAGCACTCTGAGGTTTGGTACCACAGAGAAGTATTTGGCTGGAATAGCAGTGATCCAGTTAGCATCCAAGTGAAGCTCTACCAGGCTGGGATAGCTAGCTAGTGCTTGCTGGTCCGTGTCATTCAGAGTAATTAGGTTCCCTTCAATCATCAGTTTGGTAACATTTACATTTTCAGAGTTTTCAGGGATGACTTGAAGATGTTTGTTGGTGAAGTTTGCTGTCAGCTGATGGGTGGAACAGGAACAATTGTTATAGAAAACTGGAAAAATATAGAAATAGACAGCTGGAGCAAAATGTTGTTAAAGGCCAGAACTTTTCTTACGGTTTCACCGTCTTTCACTGTCTCATTATTTTTCACTAGCCCTGCAGTGAGCCACAGCAGGAGGAGAGGCTGCCAGCACCTCTGCATCACACCACACTGAAAGGAAATGGATACAAAGTCCTGTAACCAACACGTGACAGAGAAAACACGCTCATTTCTTAACAAAACCAGTAATTAATTCATTTGTTGCCTGGTAGAATTCCGCCTTTTGATTGAAAAAGCGTTACTACGGCACAGATATCGACGGTTGCAAATTATGTAGTTGGACTAAAATAATCTGACTAACATCAACTCCATTTATACACAAGGTTTGCATAAGTTACAGTTATTTAGCCTGTCAGTAAAATGTATTTTCTGAAATACATGTTTAGCTCCTCCCCCTTTAAGCCAGCGTTCTTTGGATTGGCGGTGCCTCTTAAAAACAAGGTTGCGTGACACGGTAACACCTGAAGACCACAAAGAGATGAAAAATCTCAGTGTATCCTGTGAAAAGTGTGCAGGGGTTAAAAGTGTGAGACAAGATTTTGTAAATAAGTATTGGCCAATGTTTACACTAAGCACAGCATGTCATGAGGACAAATACTCACAAATACTACGAGTGATACAAAGTGCCATAAATGTGCATTCTAAGTAATGGCCAGCAGGGGGTGCTGCAGAAAGTCTAATATATGGCGACAGTAAAACAGTGCTTGGGTCTCTTGATCACTGACCTTATTATCACGTTCACGATAAGCTGATGGTCTCAGTTTCACGTGAAAACAAAACTACACTGATTTTTCAATGATGGCCCTTAGAATCAAAAAGCAGGATAAAACTTTACCACAACGTCCGTGTGTGCCTGTTACCAAACAGCAGCATGGTGACAGCTTGAGGCTTTACAACATTTTGTTTAAAGTGTTTGATTCAAACAGCAGGTAGGCGGAGCGCAGCTCGCTGACATGACTGTACCTGTTCTCACTGACATCACAAAGAGCAGAAGGAAAAAACTGTTCAGAATCTGATGAAAATACTCTTTAGAGTCGGGAGCTATTAAGCCATCTAACCTGAGGATAAAAAACATTACCCATCGTTGCACGTCATGTTCCTCTTTAAACATACGACTCAGCGTTGGACTCCATTAACAGAAAACCTTATGCCCTCATATTTCTATGTGAATTCTTTGTATGTGCAGTGAACTGAGAAATCGGGCACTTTGCAGCATAAGCCCGAGGTCAGAGTACAGTAGAGATAAAGCACCGTGTGAGGGAGTGAGTGCACACTGATGCTGGAGTGTCTTTTTCACGTCTTACAGAGAAAAGAAACTTCAGCGCACGTCTTCTTTTAAAGGAGACGTGTAGAAACGTGTCTGCTGCCTAACCTCGCACATCTCACAATTCCTGTCTGGTTTTCACACTCTTTCTCTTTATACTTGTTGTGTAATCATCTTTTACTAATGAAAAGTAGCAGAAGAATCTTACCTGTTCTTCTACACGCACTAAGGTGAACCTTTAGTCCTGTGTTACTCTCACGCAGTCAGCGTACGAGTGACCTTTGTTCCTTGTAAAACAAGTGTGCACTCTGTGCTAACTGTTTATGATTGATCAAGTTGGTCCTCCCATCTTTGCTGTCTTCCTTCTTCTGCCTACAAGTATCTCTTAGGTTACTGTTGGAAATGGCTCATCTAAATATATATGTGAACTAGTTCAAGGTATAATTCTGCAAATGACTGAATATGATTAATGACAAGCATTTTAGTTCTTTTAATGACCTCTTCTTACGGAGAGATGACGGCTGAATGGAAAAGAAAGCATAAAGTAAGGAGAAGAGTGTGAAAGATCAGACGGAGTAAAGGAAAAGTGGATGAAAAGCAGGTAGAAGATGAAAGTGTTGCTGCTGCTTCGTCTCAGCAAACATACCTGTGCGCCTGTGTGGACACGGCAAACCCAAGTGCGTGTACTCTCACTCTTGATATTGTAAAATGTTTCAGCAACATTTGCAAACTCTTGTAAACATTGTAATGATTAATAGTACTGTGAAAGTGAGCAGGCACACCAGCAGCAGCAGACTGGGTTACATACAGCTGAACAAGAATTCCCACATTCCTACTCTTCCATTGAAGTTCTGCCGGAGGTTTCTTCCTGTTAAAAGGGAGCTTTTCCTTCCCACTGTCGCCAAAGTGCTGCTCATAGGAGCTCATATGATTGTTGGGTTTTTCTCTGTATCTATGAAGCGCCTTGCGGCGACTTTTGTTGTGATTTGGCGCTATATAAATAAAATTGAATTGAAGTAGAGACTGATGTAAATGTGATGGAGCTGCATTGCAGCCCGACTGCACCGTCTCTGGGAAGGTCGGGTTTCAGCACAGAGGAGGGAATGTTGAGACTGGAGGAGCTGATCTACATCACAGGGGTCAGGTTCAAGTGTAACCGTATGATGTGAATATTCAAGAGTTTGGTGCTGTAGTCTTCCTCCACCAGTCCCAGAGCAGGGGTGTCAAACATAAGGCCCATGGGCCAGGATCAGCCCTCCAAAGTCTTCAGTCTGGCCCACTGTGGAAAATGTGAAGGAGGGCATAAATCTTCTACGGTGAGGACGTGCTCCATGACCACGTACTGTACCAAAGTAAATAAGTCGTAGATAAAGCAATAAACGGCAGAAAGTTCCTCGTTTTTCACTGGCTGCTATAGAAATGTATCATTCTTATGTTCGATTCACCATAAACAGAAACAGAAAGGACAAAAATGTTCATTGTTGAATTACAGGACAGTCTGCACAACACAGAACCCAATTTAACTTATTTATGGTTTAGCTCAGTGGGATGATCAGGAGGTCATACGCCCTGTGGCCGGAGAGCGGTAGGCCCGGGTTTGAGTCCGATCCACGCTAAGCCTTTGCTGCATGCCCCCCCCCCACACACACTCATGTCTCTATGGAATAAGGGCTGAAAAGGCCCCAAAATTAAAAAGAAAGCTTATTTGTTTCTTACAGTTTAAGTGCAAAGACACTGAGATGTATTATTGAATTGCATTTATGTTTTTATGTTAAAATCTCTCAGAGAAAGAGGCGTTTCACTGATGCGGCCGGCTTCACATCATAGTTATGCTTCAGTCCTGTGATGTAGCTGAGCAGGAAACAGGAGGAAGCTTTGACCACCGCTGCTTGATTCTGTCTCCGTTTGTCGTTGGTTGGTGTAGTAAAGAATGAAAATGAATTTAAGAAACAACAACCGTTTTTTAGGTTCTTCATCTGCTTTGCCTTATTTTTCATGTGGAACGTTTTGCTTGTGCAGTGTTCAGTCAGGGCCTCCGTAGACTCAGAGGAACCCGAGGAGGTGGGTTGCAAAGCAGCTTGTGCATGTGCCACAACTTAAGCAGCTTAGATAGCCTGACCCGATGTTAGCTGATGTGTAGAAGCGTGTCAGCTGATGTGGGCTGTTATTGAACTGTAAACTCTTTGGCTTCCTTTATCTGTCTGCGTCCACTCTGTCCACTCTGTTTGCTCTGCAGGAGAGAGGAGGCAATCAGGGCCATTGAGGAGGAGATCAGGAGAGAGAGGCGCGTTGCTGATGAAGTCGTCCAAGCAATGCCGGCAGCAAAGCAAGAGAAATATTTCACCATGACAACCACTAATGAGGAACTGCTGCAGGTGAAGCTGTAGTTGTTATGGGGAAAGAGGAGATTGGTTCATGTCAGGCATGATGAAATCTCACTCTGGCAAGTACTCAGCTGATTCTTTTGTTTTGCAGGAGCTGACTGTTCTCCAGGAGGACCTGGACGTGCTAATAACGAGGAAGGAGGACTATGAAGCAGTGAGTCGGGTGGAGGGGGCGGTGTGAGCGAGGTGGAGGAACAGCATGGCTGCGGGTGTTTTACGTGAACGATCCTCGTTGCAGGAGCTGTCCCACTCTCAGATAAAGCAGGAGATGGTTCGGCTTCGTGAGACCTTGTCAGCGCTGGAGGCCAAACGAGACACGATGGAGGCGGAGCAGAAGAGCCTGGGTTCACCCCAGGAAGAGAGAGAGAAGTTATTTAAGCAGGTGTGCGCGCTGGCTTATCGGTCATTGCTACATCAGAGGACGGGAGGGATTTGATGAAATATCACAGAAACTTTTACAAACAGGAAATAGATTTGTTTGTGTTCCTGAAACAGGCTTTTACAAGGATATCACATGAATTCAGTTTCAGTCTGGTTGAGTAGTTTTAGTCATGTTGAGGAATTCGGTTCCTCAGCGTTCACTGCCTCCACACATTCAGGGTCTGCACGGCAAAAACCCTCTTTCAGCATTAAAAAGCAACTATAGCTGCGACATTTGGGTCCTGGTTCTTTATTTTGTTCTCCGATGTTCTCTGATTAAGTAAACTTAATAACACTGAAGTTTAGATTATCTAATGCTAACCCAGGCTACTGTGGTAATGTGCAGTAGGGCTGTTCTTCATCCTAAACGTGTGCATTGATTCAGAGAGTCAACAGCACCATCATGTGGTCAAACTGATGAATGGATTGTAAACAGCAGTGAGCAGAGCTCCTGAAGCTTGATGTTAGCAGACGTGAAAAACCAAAGACTGAAGCTGTGCTTCTGTTCTCCAGGTGAAAGAGGACAACCAGGAAATTGCCAGCATGGAGAGGCAGTATGTACTCATTACAAGTACTTAGATCCTCGTCACTTCTGTGTGTGCGTGTAAGAATATGTGTATATTGTGTGTACTCAGGCTTACGGAGATACGGGACAGGAGAAGACAAATCACAGAGGAGATCCGACACCTGGAGCAGGACTCAGAAGCAGCTCAGGGTAACCCACAGGATGAGGGTGGACTCTAAACCTGAATCACCTTTGATGTGATTTCAATATTCTGAACATTCCTACAGGCGAATGTCAACAAAAATACAAAGAGCTGAAGAGGAAGGAAGAGGAGATCGACCGTGAGTCCCAGTCGAACCGAACACTTGTGACATAGGCAGCATAGTCGAGCTCATTTAAAGTTAAGGTGTTTCGAGAACATTTCTTACGTACTGTGTCCGTTTATTGCAAAAGAAAAAAATGAACACATACAACAGTTAACGGAGCGACTGAGAGGAGACGGTCAGTCGGTCACGTCACAGGCGACTGACAGACACACAAACTGCATCTTGATGTCTTGGACTGTGGGGCAGAGTAGTTGAGCAGATGCAGGCTGACAGGCATGTATTTGTTCTTCTGTTTAATCAACACTGATGATCCCACATTTGGGAATGTGGGGGCTGATGCAAACACTGTATGTGAAAGCATGAAGCCTAGTTGATGACAGTTAGGAGTCACCAAAACACAGTAGTTTGATTTCCACTGTCAGGAGGAACTAGAGGGGACCTACTGTCTACTAGCAGCGCATGGATATAACCTCTGTCCTCTTCTCAGGGTTCCTCGAGTCATTTGAGGAGTCCAGGGCTCAGGAGGAGGAGAGACTAAAGCAGGGCCAGGAGAACATTGTCTCACTCCTGGAGCACTGCAGCAGGGTGAGGAGCACTGATGAAATGGGAGGACAAACACAGCGTGGTCCACTGCACTAACTGTGCATGTCTTTGTAGAACATGTTGCGGCTCCGTCAGGTGGATACAGTGACAGCCAGTGAGCTGAGGGACATGCAGGAAGTGCTGGTAAGCAAGGAGACCGAGGTGGTCCAGTCAGAGAGCACCGCTAGAGGACTGACAACAGGTGGGTGACACGCACACAGTCGGGTTTCCCTCACTTCTAAAGAGATCACATTAATTTATTTCTAACCTTAAAGTCTGGAACATTTACGTCCCGACAACACGAGCACTGAACAAAGGCCCTTCTCTGCCCCTGCACAGAGTCCCAGCGCCTGCAGCAGGACCTGGAGAAGGTGCAGCAGCTGGAGGGGAAGATCACAGGTGAGCTGAGCACCCTGCAGGAGCGTGTCAGCACCATGCAGTCTGAGCTGCATACCTACAGGGACCTGGACACCCTCAGGCTCACAGCTGAGGAGAAGAAGAAGGTAACTGCAAACTCTTTGTGCTGAAGGTCTCTTCCTGTTAAAAGGGAGATCTTTCTCACCGCTGTCCCCGAGAGCTTCCATACTGGAGATCAATAATCGACTCCGTTTTAAAAAATGAACTGACTATACTTTGTTTTCTCTCCTTGTGCTGCAGAGGCTGCAGGAGGAGCAGGTGTCGCTGACTCAGCGTCGAGATGCATTTGGACAGCTGCTGGAGGAGATGAACCAGAAACATGAAGCGCTGAAGACCAGACTGCAAGAAAATGAGACTCACGCTCAGGTTGGTCGTGTTTTGGTACACAGGAAACACACTGAATCTTCTGACTCAGCTCCCTCCTCACCACCTGCCTTCCCGTCTTCAGCTCACAGCAGTCTTGTGTTTTGTGTTGCTTTATGTGTCTGAACGTTAGCTGGCTAACCTGGAGAGGAAGTGGCAGCACCTGGAGCAGAACAACTTTGTGATGAAAGAATGTATCCTTTAGAAATATGACGTATGAATTCATCCGCACTAGAAGCCCTCTATTCAGTCTCCAGCATCCAGAGAAAGTGAGCTTTTTAAACACTAGGACCAGTTCTTTACAGCTTT